GAAATTCATCTATATATGCATTTATATACATTGTAATTTTCTGAGACTGACATATAATATTATTTACATGTCCATCAAAAGTGTGCAATTTCATTACAATATCATTGCATGATCATCTCTTATGGTTTTTATCTTTATCTTAATGATTTGTTTTATATTAAATTTTGTACAAAAATGATATTTTCTTTTAAAACCTTTTACTGCTATGTTTACCTTCCATCTGATTGCCCCTGTAAATAAGAAAAAGCTAGCAGTGGCTATTGTAATATGTGTTTGAATGAATGTGAGATGGCTCTTAGAATTAATTCAATGAAAGTGCGTGATAGCAACACGCAAACCCTTTTACTGTATTTCCTATCGCTTCTTAGCCAACAAAGCGTTCCTCTAATTGAATTCAACAGGAATAATATGTGAATGTGACATGGGAATTGGGTATCATTATTTTTTCCAGTGACAATATCCTACACAGCAAGTGAATTATCAGTGTCAAAAGAATTGTAGTGTTTCCGAGAAACACATTTAGTTTCATTGTTTTGAATTTGTTGTTTACTTTAGTCTCAAAAGACAAACTTTCAGAATCCTAATCTAAAAAAATAATGGTATTATCACGGGAAAATTGGTCATGACACAGGTTGTATCTCAATTTAGCCTTTGCTGATAAAAATGCAAGTAATTCAATCAGGACCATGTCTTATACATGCATGGGCAACAGTTCAACGTCATGAGGCGTAGTGTTACACACATGAACCAAGTCTCTAGTTCTAAGGTAAGGAAAACACTTGTCAATAGTGAAAGTTCTACACACATACATTGATGCATTAATATTTAACATTATTAGCCAGTGTTAGTATTGTGAGCATAGGAACTCGGGAACGGAACCGCAAACTGCGGCGCATATTTTCGATCCTGTACGGCTTTCCATATTGTTTATCCGACCTTTGAATACCTTTATATTATCCGAATGGATGAAATATAATCTCAATTTAATATAATCAGCTAGTTTAAAAATCAAGTCAAATCTATGGTAAACTGAAAAAAGAAAAAAAGAGTGACATTCGCCATTTACTGCAACGTTCGGCGAGAGTTACTCTGCTTGATATGATGGATTTTCGTTAATTTTTTCTGGTACACTCTTTAAAAAGCGCGTTTTTACATTTCCATTTTCATACACTAAATGTAAACTTTTTTCCCGAAATATTGCATGCCAACTTAAGCGTTTTGTACTAGGTCAATTTCAAATAAAAGTGTTAAATGCCATACTTTCTGGTCATAACATTGTCTTAGTATACCGGTCTATAAAGAAAAATGCTTTACCATGGAAAGTAATTAATCTTAGAATAAGAGGAAATGTGAGCGCGTTCTTACTCATATAATGCATGTTTGCAATTAACTTTTGACTCAGCATTTCTTTGCCGAGTTAGTCAAAGTTTAGTATGTACGTTATTGCAATAAAAAACTTTGACAAAAAAGATTTGCCCTATGGACCTCTACAAAATTTATAAAGATCTTGGCAATTGGCTCATAAGTACGGAAGAGCATTAGTGCCAGGTGTATGTTTTTTATTAACTCGAAATTTCGAGTTACTAGCTCGAAATTTCGACTTACTAACTCGAAATTTCGAATTACTTATCTCGAAATTTCGACTTACTAACTCGAAATTTCGACTTACTTACTCGAAATTTCGACTTACTAACTCGAAATTTCGAGTTACTTATCTCGAAATTTCGAGTTACTTATCTCGAAATTTCGAGTTACTAACTCGAAATTTCGACTTACTAACTCGAAATTTCGACTAACTAACTCGAAATTTCGACTTACTAACTCGAAATTTCGAGTTACTTATCTCGAAATTTCGAGTTACTAACTCGAAATTTCGAGTTACTAACTCGAAATTTCGACTTACTAACTCGAAATTTCGACTTAGTAACTCGAAATTTCGACATACTAACTCGAAATTTCGACTTAGTAACTCGAAATTTCGACTTAGTAACTCGAAATTTCGACTTACATTGCACGACTTTCATTGGTTGCCGGTGAAAGCAAGGATTGAATTCAATATACTTTCTTTCGTGTGTAGTTGTTGCACATTGACAGAGCACCTTTAACATTTATTTAACAGAACAATTTTATAGGGTCAAATTGTCCACACATACTGAACATATCCTTCGCTTTTTTGTGGAGGGGGGGGGGGGATGTAAAATCACACTTTCCACATTTCCGTGTTAACAGGGTGTTTCTTTTTCTTAAGCACACATACAACCATCATATGGAGAAACAACAAGTCCAAAACCCACCCTATTGTAAACTGTGCAATATCATGTGTTAAATAAGTTTTAAATGATGTGTATAGGCCAGTTAGTCTGTCACGTTTCTTTATACTAATAATGTTTTTGTAACATTATTCATTATTTACTAATACTTTGATTCATATTGTGTTGATAAAAGTTGATAAAAGTGATACTTGTTATAATATATATGTTGGGAACAATATAAAAGCAGGTGAAAGCAAGGATTGAATTCAAGATACTTTCTTTCGTGTGTAGCTGTTGCACATTGATAGAGCACCTTTAACATTTATTTAACAGAACAATTTAATAGGGTCAAATTGTCCACACATACAGAACATATGCTTCGCTTTTTTGTGCAGGAGGGTTTAAAATCACACTTTCCACATTTCCGTGTTAACCGGATGTTTCTTTTTCTTAAGCACACATACAACCATCATGTGGAGAAACAACAAGTCCAAAACCCACTCTATTGTAAACTGTGCAATATCATGTGTTAAATAAGTTTTAAATGGCGTGTATAGGCCAGTTAGTCTGTCACGTTTCTTTATACTAAGAATGTTTTTGTAACATTATTCATTATTTACTAATACTTTGATTCATATTGTGTTGATAAAAGTTGATAAAAGTGGAACTTGTTGTTATATATATGTTTGGAGTAATATAAAAGCATCCGATTTTACAAGAAATATAGTCAGTCAAACAATTTTGACAAAGGCCTCAGCACGCCCTATTTTGGCCACGCCGCGATACTTTTCTCAGATGTCCCACACGTGAAGTATAGGATCGTTTTATTCACAGAGATGAGAAGAATATGATTAGTGAAAAGATATGTTCGAACAGATGGGATACAATACAACGTGTGAAGAACGCCTGAACGTACAAATTAAAGGAAGCCTTGTGTTTTAGGTCGGTTGTGTACGTGCCATTACTAAGTTTTATTTTAATTTCAATAGTTTTTGTCCAGGCACCCGATTCTCCATCTCCATCGTTCAACGGCACTCCCTACTATATCTTATATCATCTAACTTATAACTTTGGCCATTCTTGTAATGTTAATAAGTCGAAATTTCGGGTTAGTAAGTCGAAATTTCGAGATAAGTAACTCGAAATTTCGAGTTAGTAAGTCGAAATTTCGAGTTAGTAAGTCGAAATTTCGAGTTAGTAAGTCGAAATTTCGAGATAGTAAGTCGAAATTTCGGGTTAGTAACTCGAAATTTCGAGATAAGTAACTCGAAATTTCGAGTAAGTAACTCGAAATTTCGAGTTAGTAAGTCGAAATTTCGAGTTAGTAAGTCGAAATTTCGAGTTAGTAAGTCGAAATTTCGAGATAGTAAGTCGAAATTTCGGGTTAGTAACTCGAAATTTCGAGATAAGTAACTCGAAATTTCGAGTAAGTAAGTCGAAATTTCGAGTTAGTAAGTCGAAATTTCGAGTTAGTAAGTCGAAATTTCGAGTAAGTAAGTCGAAATTTCGAGTTAGTAAGTCGAAATTTCGAGTTAGTAAGTCGAAAGTTCGAGTTAGTAACTCGAAATTTCGAGATAGTAAGTCGAAATTTGGGGTTAGTAACTCGAAATTTCGAGTTACTAAGTCGAAATTTCGAGTTACTAAGTCGAAATTTCGAGATAATTAAGTCGAAATTTCGAGTTAGTAACTTGAAATTTCGAGTAAATAAAAAACATACACCTGGCACTAATGCTCTTCCGTACATAAGCGGTCCTTTTGTAACATTTAATTATATAAAATGTTTGGCATATAGCATTGCCTTTCGAACAATTACTAGAATGCTCTTGATTAAAGATGTCTAAGCCTCTATGTTACTAATTGTGCAGGGATTTTTTTTGTCTGACAATCATAATTAATTAAAATGCTCACTGATGTACAATTATAACCAAATCCGAATTAGTGTCAAAATGTTTCGGTTTCAACAATCACAATAAGTATATAAAAATGTACTGTTTATGGTTATATCTATAAAATTACTCAATTTAATTGGACTTTTACTCGATATATTGGAAAAAATATAACTTTCACCTACTAGTATTAAATTACATTTTGTTAATATATTTAGTTTCTTAGCGTAGTTTAGACCGAAAAACTGCATCGTTTCTGTGTATTCTTACTTCTGTGCTCGATGTTCTTATCCGAAGACTGATAGAAAGGGCCGAAAAGTGGAGATTGGGTTATATTGCCGCCCATACATGTCAACAAGCCTGATAGTTATATCCGGACGATACCTGATAGTTGACAATGGAATTCTGAAGAAAAAGTAATCAACTAGCCCGAAGGGGGAAAACTCGGATGAATTTGCACATTGAAGCTAAACTATTTGACTATCTATCTTCCTGCGCAAATATGTAATAACATTTGCCCCGAGTACGGATGAGCGTATGTATGTACTCGTCATTTATACTTATCTGCAATCGAGTACTCTTTTAGGTGTTCAAAATAGATAATGTTATCATTCTATATACATTCTAAATGCATTTTCTTCATAAAAACAATATGATACATCACTTGCATGCCCATACTGATTTGAAATATCTATCCATCTCTTATTTGCACAGGATTTAATACTTTAGTTTTATCTGATTATAAATACGCTTAGCGTATGTTTTTACTCTAAATATCTATAGAACATACAATGTAATCACTTAAAGGAAACACACAAATCTTTTATTTATATATTTTTTGCTTACCAACGAAAACGTATATTCTTTATCTCACCGATACGGTTGTTTGCAGTAACATTCATTTGGATGGTAGTTGAAATGAAGGAAACTTATTTTTGATGACGAACGTAAATATGTGACAGGATGAGGATTTTAATTGCTCTTTTATTGTTAGGTTTTGAAGTTTCGTTTGGTACGTAAGGTTACTTTAAATTTTATTGAAATGATTTTGAATCTACAAAACTGTTCCGAAATAAGAATTTTTCTGCATTTGAAACCCTTAGGTAGGTAAACTGCCGGAACTAACAGTGACTCGCCTTTGCGACGAAAAATCGAACCAGGCCGGTCTTCACATCTAGGCCGTCACACCATTCTCAACACTGTTAGCCGCTTTAACTTTTTATTTCGATATTGTACGAGAATGACTTGCAAATCAAATTAAAGTTGTAAAGGTGGTAAATTTTAAATTAAGCAATATTTAAAATACATTTATATATTCAGAACAATGTTAAAAAATCTCACATATGATTCTTCATATAGGAAATCTTAGACGATATTTACAGGCAGAAGACTATTAGTTTAAGCAGATCTTGAGCTGTAATTTGCCTATCCTTTGTCATTAATATAATAAAGCAATATCAGATTTAAAAACTAGTCACATATTAGATTATCATATAACTGGAAGGCAACATATACAATGCATAAGTTGTTATACGGAAGGTGTTGTACGTTTATAAATAGATAGTTATTATTTTGTATATTTCTAAACAAACAGCTTTAATTGGCTATTACTGTGGAAATGGACCAAGTACAAATTATGCAGAAAACAACTTGTACGCTGATGGAATTCACCTTGAAGGAAAGTCATCAATAACGTTTCAAGTAAAAGGTGGTCACGATGCCCATATATTACTTCAACACGATCACAGCAATTTGGTGGATAATGTCATAGAAATAGTACTTGGTGGTTGGGAAAATTCAAAGTCAGTTATTCGAAGTAAGCAACAGCAGGAACCGCCAAGAGCACAGCATGTGGTAGTATTTACATAAATTGTTAGACTTTGTATCATTTAACGGTATAACAACTATCCTAATAACAATGGATTTTTAAGGTATTTTATGTATTAGGTGTTTTTTTTGACAACAAATACAGCCGTGGAAGAGCAAAATTTGTATTCAGCGTACACAAAATATGTAAATAGCCACTACTTACTAGTTCTAAAGTTGCCGTTTATGATGAACATTTGACCAAAAATCAAACTCGTCTATGGTGATTCTACGATTTTAAAATGTTTTTAAGTTTCGTTTAATTTTCTTAGGTTTTAATCTTTACTTTGATAATATTATCATAGATAATTTATTATATATAATATATAAATGCGTCTACACAAAGTGAGTGAATGTGATGGAATGCAATGATGAATTACCGTACCCGTAAATATCACTTTGTATAAACACTTATAAACGGTTAGTACATGCTACTATAGGAATATAATAATAGGATAACGTGACTTTAAGTTATTGAATGACTGACGTAGAGAAGAGAAATATGTTTGACTTATTACGAGACCAAATTTGTGTTTAAGGATTAAAGATTGAAAACAACAACCAGTATTTATTCATATTTTATTTATTAATGATTACTACCCTATGACACATGCATAATGTTCCTTTTTATATTTTGACTTTTCTATTGTATTCTTTCTTTATTTCCCTGACAGGAATCGAGAATTATTTCTCCATCCAGCTTCAAATATTTCTGGATATCATGGTCGGGATCTTATATCAGAGTAAGTATTTCTAAACTTGACAGTATGGGATCAGTTATTTTGAGTTGAAAATTTTAGATCATTACATTATTTGTTCGGGTACGTGTAGAGTAAATAACACATAAGTTTGCGGGTGACAGTAAAATATCATCCAATTGAAAATACTTTTTATAAAACTTTTTTAAGCAAATGATGGTATTTACAAGCCATAAGACATAAAATCAGCTGTATTTTAGTGAAAACACCAAACCATTTATATGTGTTAGAAAAAATAGATCGGATATATTTTGCCTTATTTAACCTCAGTACAGAAAACACTTAATAATAGCTTAAAAAAATCATATCAATTATAAAGTGTTTCATTTGATTAAATTACACAATAGGTGGGAAAAGGAGAAACTATTGGTCACAGCGAATTCATGTCATGGAATGGACTTTCATTTTCAATCAAAGCAATAAGCATTAGTTTTGGATTTGGAAATGGTGGATCCTTTAAATTTGGTATGTATATTAAGTATTAATTTAAAACTATCGTGCATGACATAGAGGATATTAGTTTGTTTCAGTGTAAGATCGAAAAATATTTCACCGAGTGAACACCAGATGCAATATTTTCCACGAGTGGCGTAGCCACGAGTGAAAATATAATAGCTGGGGTTCACGAGTGAAATATTATTTGATCTTACATGTAAAACAAACAAATTTTCTGTTTATTTCATGATTTTTTAACGATTTTTAAACCATTTTACTGATTTTTGCCGCGTAACGTCATGCTCTTATCTTCACGACGTCATCAAATAATGACGTCACAATGTTGAAGCAAAATATAATTCCATGATTATTTTTAGATTTTAGAAGTTTTTCAGCACAACGTTCGTAAATATTTACGAACAACAGTTATCACGTACATTTTTTTATTATGATTGACTACATTTCCGCTGAAAAAAAACATTCATTAATGATAAATATTTTATTTTTACGCCAAATATAGTTCGGCTACTGTGAAATTATATTTGGTAATCATTACTGTGAAATTATCAGAATATAATTAACCGTTATAATTCAGTAATCTCCTGCAAAACATGTAATAAATATTTATCTTTTTATACTTGCATTGCCTATGTATATTAATATTCAAAAACGCTATTATATTAGTATTACAATTAAAAACAGTTAAGACAAGACGAATTTTTCCCGCAAGATACCAATTTAAGACATCTTTCATGTTAACTAACTGCACTAAAATCAACTGTTTTCTCTTATGTTTTATAAAAGTGAACAAATGGCCTTTTTCTTAATAGAATGTAGGTCGATTGAAAATTGTGTGAAGGTAAACTGTTCAAATGCACGTGAGTCATCATGTGTCACATGTATTGATAAAACGGTGTTCTATAAAGTATCACATGACAAGAAGAGCTGTGAAAGTAAGTATATCGTGAAAAATAAGATACATTTTTTACAGAGATAAAAGTAAATTTTACAAAAATAAAAGCTATAGGATATGACGATTCTTTATCTTAACGTATCAAAACCTCATTTACATTTTTTTTAAATTCTAAATAAGACAAATTAAGTAAGACAAAAAAGATTAATCCTTATTGAAGTTAAAGAAAATTTCGCATCATTCATTGTTTTTGACTTGTTAGACTGTAAATGCTTATCCTGTTGTTTGTAGCCTGACTTTATTATTTAAACATAGGAATGTGTTCCTTTGATGCCAATAAATGTTGGCCAGGGGAGTGCAGGAGTGGACTAGCTACCAACTGCAAGTGCTTGAATGGTTTCACAAGGGAAGCAGCCTCTTGTCAATGTAAATATGAATTTTTTTTTAAAATATATCATAGAACATTGAACTGATTTGAGAAGTAGAACATTTGTGTTCAAAGTTAAACATTTAGTTAAAAGTTATGAAGTTACATCATTATACTGTATCTCTGACGTTTTTACAATATAAAAACTAGTTCAAAGTTAAATAATGACAATGTTATATTTCTTTACCATTCTTACTGGTTTGTAATAAAATGATTGAATGTAACTGAGTTACAGAGCATGAATTAATTTCTGATATTTAAAAACACCGTGTCATAGCTTAGACCTTATGTCGATACGAAATTTAATAGTTTATTTTCACAATTGTTATCTGGATCCCTGTTAGATGTATCAAATAATCAAATGTCAATTATGCACAAACATCATCAACTTTAAGAGGCGTGAGGGATGTTGCACGTTCTCATTATCCCTCATGTACAGACTCAATCAAACTGAGTCTGCAATTCTCTGGTAATTTTGTTGTGATTAATGCTTCGGATGGATCACTTTGTTTCCAGATTTTTATATTAATCACCGGTCTTATGGTCATTCGTTCCATAAAACATGCGGTATAAGTGGCGACCACTTTCGAAGAAATTAGTAATTACTAGTTATCCAGGAAATCAGTTAGAAATCAGCTCTTAGATCAAACAAACAAACAAACAAACAATAATTAAATAATAACTATAGTAATAAAACAACAAATAAACTTTCTTTATTGCAGTATCAGAAACAACCAGACCGACTGTTAACAAATGTTTTACTACAATAATAGGACACAATCTTGAGAAAGTTCAAACTACAGCTGGACAATGTCATACTCTTCATGATTTGTATGGACATTTTAAGCCAGTTCATGTTAACTTCGATATTCAATCTGACTTTATGGTAAACGTGTCGACTATTCCTAGACCAAAATTTATACATTCCAGCAACTTTGGGGTTACAGACACACGTGTTATTATAACTAGAGTGCAAATTGATGGTAAATAGATTATTTGTTATTTATATATGTAAAGACATAAATAGTTATTTGTTACATTGTGTATATATTGTTTTATAAATGAGACTTGAAACGCTTAAATGGCACTAAAATTACAATGCCTAATGATAAGACTATATAAAAATGTTAAGTTTATGTTTAAGACATCAATGCTTTTAAATAAAGATAGAGTGCTTGTTACAAGCATTAGTTTACAATTGATGGTGATTTTTATAGAACAAAATGAAACGTGTTTTGTGACATTAAATGAAATTTATTGTGCTTTTATCACTAGTAAATATAATATTCCTTCTCCTACTGTTTTAAATAACACTTTGTGAAAACATTCAGGGAAACACAGGCACAATTTTTATTTCTTTATTTTTTCATTATTCTGTAAATGTCCTCAAAATGAATACAGTAGACAGTCACAGGAACTTTTCTCCTTATAAATAAATTCACAATTGTTGTCACAGTGAACTCTGGGAACGTTTAAGAACATGTCAAATGAATGATTTAGGTTTGTTTCAATCAATATCAATATCCACAATATCTGTAATGTTAACTTCATGGGTTTGCTCAAGTCACATGACTAGTTTTAAAAGTACTCGGTGATTCTGTCGGCGTCTAAATTTCGATCAACATATAAAGATATATTTACGCTTCAAACCCAAAATATATAGAATTTATACAGAATTTTTCATGCTGGGACTTTTACAAAAATGTCATTTTAGCGTGTTTTGAGTACATAAGATAATTTTGATATTATTGTCATTTATTTGCCTGAGTATCCCTTTAATATTTTAGGTAAGATAATTCAAATAGGCAGCAAACCCTTGGAGACAGATCTCTCAAAAGGAACGAACGTCAAACATGCTGTTTTTTATAATGACACGATAAATCTGCAAGCTTATAAAAATTACAGCTTATCAAACGGGGAACGGTATGATTTTTAAGAACAAAAAATAATCCTAAAGTTTCAAATATTTAATCTACTCACTGACGTTATTAAGATTGTTTGTCTACATTTGATAAAACTATCGATAATTGCTAAAAACATCGTATCAATTCAAAACTTGAGATAAAACTAATCTTTTTGAGTTTTTAATCAAACCATTTTGTCATATGTTTGATAAAATACACTGTATCACTTCAGATTGTGTTTACATTACGAATCGCTTGGAGGTGGATTTGTGACAGCTTTCGATACAAGGTCAAATAAAGTACTTGATCCAGTCTCTTACAAAAAGTCAAGAACAATAGAAACAGTTTGTTTTATATATGATACATCTAGACCAAAACACTGCTTTGAAGATAAGTCTTGTAAGACAGATCCACTCTTTGTCGAAAAACGGATAACACGTTCTAAACAAGTTTTAGTACATTTTGATGGATGGGTTGATAAGCCTCCACCGGGAGCGAATAAATCGAGTGCCTCTGGTATTGACTTTTTTGAAATAAGTATGCATGAAGTTTCAAATGGCAAAGTAAGTTTTTCGTCGAGTTTTTCAACAAATATAAGTAAGCTTATTACCTCTTATACACTAAACATAACGACTAACTTACCGAGACTATATTGCATAAAACTTGCAGTAAAAGATGTTGCGAATAACGTCAAGTATGCACGCAGATTTATTTTGTTTGATAATTCGTCGGTTATTAAAACTCGACAAAATAAATCCATTTTTTACATTACGTCCGCCTCAAAAGAAACTCACTATAAATGGCAAACACATCATGAACAAACTTGCATAACCTGGAACGATTATTTTTATAACGACTTTTATGTTCAAAATCAATTACTAATCCCGATAGAATCAGACTCCGAAATTTCAGGCATATATGAACAAACATCAGGTCTCCTTCCCGTGAAAGGTACAGAAAACGTTCATGGTATAGTCAGCTTTAAGATTTCTTGGAAAGTTAATAGTGGATCATATTCAAATGAAGTTCGTATTCCAAATATAAGACAACAACTTTACTGTACTAAATTAGCTATGCGTGATGGAGAAAAGTATACCTTTAAGCTAATCGCTGAAGACATAGTAAACAATAGCTTCATTGAAAATCGAACATTTAATGTCGATCGTTCAGCACCTGTGATAGAAGATATTTGGCTGACTAAAGATGGCGAAGAACAAATATTTGTGCATGATAGCACGGACCTATCAAAAATGAAACTTTCGTTCAAAGCATTTGACCCTCATAGTGGTTTGAGATCTATAAAGTGGTCATTTGGAACAGATGAAAATCAACTTGCCAGTGCTAATATCAGAGTCAAAACAGTAGAAAGAGTAAGCTTTTAATAATGTTTTAGATATTATTTCAAAGAATGTTTGCTTTAAATAATTAACAGAGAAGTCGAATTTGCATTACGATTACTGGCGCGCATGATCTGTACATGCAAATAAATTACTGACATTTATCATGAAAGTGTAAACTAATATATTTTATACACTTGAACAAAGGAAGTTATGTCTTCATTCATTCATAAACCTCATTCAAAATAAATCAGCCAAATGATATAACATAAGAGTATATATGCATGTTTACGTATTTTACATATTCAGGAAAAGTACTCAGCAACCAACACCACATGCTTACTGTCCAGACGTTGGGCAATGTGAGATGAAAATATACTCTTTTGATCTGAATAGATTGGTGAACAACAACACACACATTGGCGATCATAATCGAAATTATTTCTTTACACTTACTGTGGAAAATAACGCCAGGTTGAAAAATATTGAACATCTGGATATTTTAGTTGATGATTCTCCTCCAGAAAGTGGCGCCGTATATGAGGGTAGGATATTTTGAATACATAAGTTTTTTTATGCATAGATTTTTTTGTTTGTATATGTCAACATAAAGTACCGTTACGTATTCAATAATATACATGTATTTTTAAAGAAATCAATGATTTCCGTCACCGCAGTTCGTGGAGTAAATATTGAAAGAAACAAAAATGATTTGTGTTTGTTGCAGAGGAATTTCCATAAATCTCTCATGCGTTTTCCTGTATGACTTAGTAACTTTATGAAGTAAATATTCGAGCATAATTATTTGATACAAAAATGACCACAAAATTCCTCCGTTAATCGTTGTAATATATGGAATAATAAAATTTTATAAAATCTTTGAAAACTAACAGCAACATTGCACTTAATAAGAAGGAAAATAGTATTTATTTACCATGTTAACTTTAACTGTACAGGGAATATAATAAAGATCTTTTTCATGTAAAAAGTAAACAGAAATGATATGAATACCGAATTTATATTATAATAAAGGTACAGTTGGTGGACCAGATATTGATTACACTAGCAAAGACAACTTTATTGTACGATGGAATGGATTCATAGATCATGAGAGTGGAATAAAGTTATACAGAATCGGAATTTCAGCTAAATGTCTTAATAAAGAAGATTTTCAATCCGATAACATAGCATTGAATAACATGGATCATTTTTCGGCACTTAATACTGAAAACTATATAAGAGTCCAAACTAATGCTACTGGACAACTTTTTGCAACAGTTGTAGCGATCAATAATGCGTTGCAGTCGTCATTGCCTGTTTGCTCGGATGGAATCATCCGAGATATTATTCCACCCCGGATCCGTAATATTTCATTTGAACATGCCAAATGGTCTGATTCTCTATTTTGTTTAAATGGACGTGCATGGCATTTCAACAATAAATTTCAAAAATGCCTACTTCAAGACATTACCACCTGTAGGGAGCGTTGTTCAGTCGATACGAGCGAAAGTGAATTGGTAGATATCATGGAAGAATTACAATCGATAAATGACACCCAGATTGATGAATTTTTATGCAGATACCTTCCGCTGTTCAACAAAAAGATAAAACTGTATCTTCCAAATGATCACATATCCCTGCAATGGCACATAGAGAAAAGCCTTAGTCAGGTGGACAATTTTTTTGTTGGTTTCGGAAAGACGGTAGATGAGAAATATTCTCCTTCTTTGCAAACGTACAAATCGACCAACAGCAGACACAACTTTCAAGTAAACCATTTAGGCTTTGGACTAGCAAACGAGTTCTATGTTTTTATAAAAGCAGAAAACAAAGCAAAACTAGAAAAAATCGTTTCTTTGGGCCCGTTCGTAATAGATGAAACTCCACCGCTGTACAAAAAGAAACCGATTATTTCTGTCGTAAATCAAAATATTATAATCAGTTGGGACGAAGGCCAATTTTACGACAATGAACAAACAGAGAAAATTGGACAAATATTGTTTCAATTTAGTACGTTATAAGTCTTGCTCTTTTCAGTATATCTTGTAATTTATTATTTAAAGACAGAAAAAATATAGAACTTCTTTTTTTCAAAGATTAAAGTAGGATAATTAGAACAAGACATTTGTTTTTATTTATCTAACTTCTAACTAAAATAAATAAATAAAAAAAAAAATAAATAAAAAGAAAGATCGATATTTTTTTTCTCAAAAATTCTAACTATTCTAATTATTTTTACCTTGTCCTTCAGTTCACGGTTCAGAAACTGTATCTCCAATACTTGAATGGAGATATGGTGATGCGGAGGCATGTGAAATCAAACAAGACTGTATTTCCTATCCATTACAAAAACTGCAAAAAATTGATACTGAAGATGGACTTAGTTTTGCAGTGGATGTATACCTGTACAATAATGCCGGGCATGTAACCTTGTTCCAAACAGATCCTTTCAAACTCCCTTCAAGATATCCGCCAAGTCATGGTGTTATTTTGGATATCGACCCTGCACAAACATTTAGCAATAAAGATGCAAGTGTTCATTTTACAGAAACACAATTATGTGCAAGATGGAGTGGGTTTAATCACCACGAAAATGTGTCATTGCATATCGGTGTCGGTACAAACAGAACACTAGATAACATATATACGTTTAAGCCTATAACAGGAAATGTGTCTTTTCATTGTCTTAAGTCTGACAAGTTTATCTATGGTACGCGTTTTTTCGTATCAATCCGCGCCGCGTGTTCCGGAGGAGTTATTATTTCCAGTTCGAACGGCGTTTACATCTTTAACAGTTCTATTTTACAAACGACTGATATTCAAATTGGTCATAGAGAGATCCCAGTTAACAAATGCTTCAATAGCGTAAACTCGTCCTTTACTCAGTTTTCTTTAGGAAAACTAACCATAGGATTGCTATATAAAATGCATGTTGAAACCACTTCAGATAGTTTCACGCTCAAGTCAAGCGATGCAAGTGTAATAAAGGATATACATTCGAAAGAATTTTGTTTGGTACCGTATATGGATATTCCAAATTTTCAGATTTATGGTGAAAATCAAACCGAGTCGTGTGTGCGTTTAATAAGGGCGGAAAGTGAAGGTTTTGTTAAAGAAAGGCATAAAATCAATGTTTTTATAAAAGATGGCATTTACCTTTCCACACTCACGCCCAAATGGACACTTTTAGAGCATACAACTAACAGACAAAAAGGCCCCAACACGAGTAATTCATTACATATTCAAATTATAAAGAACAATGACTACGAATTCACATTAAAAAATATATCCCTAATCGAGAAGAAAAAATATTCAGTTGGTGTGAGTTTATGTTTACCACACAGTTGTTCACAAATGGTTGAATCTTCAACATTTGAATTCGAAAGAACTATTTCACCGGGAAAGAACATCATATCAGAATTTATTGTTGATGATTATGATAACAACGTCATCGCTCATATTGAAGTTCAACCATATAAAGCACCAAGTGGCATTGTTTTATATCAATGGATTTTAAGTGAAAGTCAAGAGGGTAATAAAGGCATAATAACTTGGAGGACATTTGATACATCAAACGTTTCATATATTTCAGTAAGTAGTTAAATTATATCGTATTACTTGTGTTATAATTATCTTGCAAATAATACTTTTCTGTGTAAAGAAAAAAAATACTTAAGTTTAAATGCCAAGTTTAATGAAAACATTAACCTTTTTGAAGTTTTTGATGTGTGTTTTAGGTAAAGGAACGTTTCAAGTTACCAGTTTATCCTCATTCGACATTTTATATCTGCGTAAGAGCATACTCACGTGCTGGAAATAAAATAACGACATGCACGAAGCCAAATCGGAATTCTGTTGGAACTGATAATATAAATGTAGTTTATGACATAGACGCAGCGGCTGGAACTTGGGAAAAGATTTTAAATGTAACACATATTGCTATTTTGGCTCATTAATCTTCAGAAGTATTAAACAATGTAGTTATTTAACCCATCTTTGATTTTAAAAAGTGTTATTTTTTTTATAAATAGTCCTTTTGCATATTTTTGTTTAGTTAACTAAAACTCATTTCATTGTTAATAAAATCATTTGCTTACTGTGCCATTTTGTAAATCGTATTCTTAATGAGTCTGTAAATATGTGAATATTGTTATCATTGGTCATCTAACATTTGAAATGAGGAAAAAAAGATTCAAAGATAATTTTGATTGTCACTATCGGAATTTAGATAACAAGATTTGTGTTGCTACCCGAATTGGAGCATAAAGTCGTGGCCTTGTCCGTCTAACTGTCCGTCCGCCATACTATTGTCTGTAGAATTATTTTTAAAATATAAAAGCAATTTTATTAAAATGTCACACAATGATAGAAATGAGTAAGAGAAGTAAAATGTTTATGCAACACAAACTTGCTCAATTTCTTAAGTTCCATGCCCTTTTTGATACTTTAAATATTACAAATGCTTATAACTTCTAAACTTCCAATGATTTCTCACTCATATTGTTGTCTTAATATACAATGCAGATGATTCACAGCAACCATTTAGGGGGCGAGACACAGTTCCTGCATGACACTGAGTTAAATTTTGGAAAGAGATCGTCAAAGGTAGCAGGTGTTGTATTTTATGCGTCCGAAAGAAATATCTCATGGTATTTAATGTCAACCAGACGTATTCCAACATTTGACCAATGTCAGAGTGATACGAAATGTATTACTTCATTGACAAGTACAAATGGATATGTTTACTTTGAAAGAAAATACATAAGAATGAATAACGTTTACTATATATGCGCTTTGTCGAAGCCTTTAAAGATAAACAGAGAGAACTACGTAGAAAGTGTTGCCGAAATAAGGACGTGCAGTAATGGGTTCATTTTGGATGATATTCCACCATCTGGCGGGGATGTACTAGTTGATAACATTAACGGATTTATAAATGATCTGTCAGCTATCGAGATTGATATTGAAGGCTTTGTTGACAATATAGATGTTTCAATATTCGGATATGGAGACAACATAAAGTATTTTTCATACGCTATAGGTAAGACTATCTTTTCAAAGATTATACTAAATTAATTTAAAAAGGAATGCAAAATTGTAAAAGTTCTTTTAAGTATTTAATTGCATTTCATAATGTATAAAATAAATTATCAGCACATGTACAAAGTTTATTTCTTATATTATAGGTTCGACTTCACTCAGTTACGATTTTCACAATTTTACAAATGTTGGCAAGGATCGAAAAATTATATCTCAATTAGATAATATAAAAGATGGCTCAACTTTAGTAGTTATAGTCAAAGGTAAGACATAAAAATACGATAAATAGGGAAATTAAATAATGTCTGATAATTATCAAATAATGTACTAAAGATGAATGATGATAATACCTGAAGGTATATATTTAGACAAATATGTTTTGTAAATTCTTCCGATAACTTAGTAGTTGAAGTCACAAATGTGCTTTTATCTATTTAGTCATTTTCATGATAGATAATGAAAGTACAAAACTTAGGATACGCCATAACAACGGTTTAAGCGGCATTCAATCCTTAAACAATGATTGTGCATGTTAACAGGAGCTACACAACACTTAACACCTGTTGTTCTGAAAATTTAGATTCTGGAAAGTCCGTCGAGAGCATTCCCAGCAAACACATGACGTTAAAATAACGTCGGATTAACGTTAGATTTTGGTCACGACGTCGGCGACCAAAATACGACGTAAATCTGACGTTAAAAAACCGATGTCTTTCAGACGTTTCTTTTTGACGTCGTACTTACGTCAGGTTCTGGTCGGTGTCCTGACGGTAGGTAAAAAATTAACAAACAAAAAATCCATATTCGCTGTTGTAATCATTTAAACTTTTTTTCAAATGTTATTTGGCTTACAAATGAAGTGTGACCAAGATCGCGGGACTGCATCCTAATAAAACATGTAGGTGGCGCTATATGCATGCAAGTTACATGTGCTATTGTTATGAAATCTATTTATAGCTACAGATCTGTTTACGAGTTCCAATCATTTAACGTTATAATATTATCATTTGTGGTACATTATATGTATCAAAATCACGAGTTTTTAATAGTGCTTTAACATTTAATCATAGTGTCAGAAAAGGGAAAGAAAAACATAATTAACCTATAATTCGAAACTACAGCCACGTGGATGGAAATTCAAATTCGTAGGCGTTACGTTTTGGCTGTCGGTCAGGAATTGGGATGCATTGATAAAGTGAATATTTTAGATTTTCTTGAACAAAAAGGTCAGTTCCATTTATTTAAATTTATTTCTACTTTGTATTTGATAAATAATTGCATGATTGCAAGCATTTTTAAATTTAATTATCATTATTTGAACAGTTGAAGCAAAATGTCACACAATTTCGCGATAATGTCTGATAATAATTTTTTTCAAATTTGACATGTTTTAACTCTGCTTGTGCCTTTCAGTACTACCAAAGAGAATGCTTAGTTTTCATATTTTTCTTAAACTGTGATGTTTTGTCAGTTAAAATCTGAGAATTGAGAATGAATTTGAAACTTTAATTTGAATTTATGAAAAATTTAAAACGAGTAACTGTTCTATTTCAAACGTAGAATATACATACATGAAATTTAGAATATAATTTTCTTTTCAGGTAGATCCAGTTCCAAGTGTTGGACATGCTCTCAAAGGTCGGAGGGACAGAAACACGTGATAATGTAAAAAGAAACATGGCAAAGTAAGATTTTTGTAAATTCTATTACATACTTATAATCCATACTAAACTGCAGTTTTAAACCGGCCTTTTAAATTTTCAGTATTCGTGTTGAGTGTCTCTTATAAAAAGCTAGCAAAATTGTTCATTAGGTTAAGATAACTTTCAAAATTTCTAAAGGGCAGATAACCATGAAAAACATTTTAGCTTGTTATTTTTCCATTTTTCATAAATTTCTTTTTTTCAGTGAAAATGATATCACAAACGCTATTGGACATTAACATATCCTCCGGACAGACGAGGGATGGTTAGAGAAGGTCATATCTAAAAGCATCACACCTCTAAATTCGTGCTAATTCTCATGGATATTTAAAAGTATAACTTTGTGAAGTAACTAAAAGGAAGTAATTTATACCTTAGTGACAATTATCAAAAGGAGGTCAAAATATGCAAAATGGCACTAAATGTTTTAGTAATGCTGTAGAAATATAGTTAAAATACTGAAAATCTGTCATTAATTGCTTGAAACATTATTATCCGAATCTTTTAACTTTTCTTAAAATTATAATATTTTCATTATTTTGTTTGATAAGGCAAACTTTGATAGAAATGTACATACATTGTTTTGTTCTTTAATATTTGTATATGTTTTCTTAGTTTCATTTATGTCATTGTTTTTGTAATACTTTTTGTTTTGTTATTAACTTATTTTATGTTTTATTTTGTTTAATTTATGAAAAGTATTTAGCCTTGCAGAATTTACTAAAATTGTATGTATCAGCTTAAAATTGGAACTTTTATTTTAAATAAAAAAAAACATAAAAACATATTTTTGCTTTTAGTTTTTTGTTATACATTTCATTGGATTGAAAGTTACTTAATAGAATGAGTTACATTAAATTCGATCAAATCAGGATTAGCCAGAAAATATTTATAACGTGGTAAAACCAAAAGGATTAGGGGAATGATCAGATTAAACTCAGAAAATGGTCAGATTTAGGGCAGAAAAGGGTTAAGATTTAGGTCGGAAAATGGTCAGATTGAGGTCGGAAAATGGTTAGATTGAGGTCGGAAAATGGTCAGATTTAGGTCGGAAAATGGTCAGATTTAGGTCGGAAAATGGTCAGATTGAGGTCGGAAAATGGTTAGATAATGGTCAGATTTTGGTCAGAAAAAGGTTAGATTCTGACGTCAACCTGACGTCAGATTATTACGTCAAAAAAACTTTCAAATCCAACCGTTTTTCCGACCGTCATCCGACGTCAAAACCTGACTTAAATCTGACGTCAGTATGACGTCTTGTGTTTGCTGGGTTTAAAACAAAAACTCATAACTCGGCTATATCTTTTTAAGAAAGATAAAGGAATTCCAATCTCAGACTCTTTAGTACTGGTTTAATCGGTATTCAATCCTCTACACTACATGTAGACAATCTTGACGATTTTGAATCTACCTATAAACGATTTATTTTGTACAATTACATAAAATAAAGGATACGAATTAATATTTCAGCAACTGACTACGCTGGAAATTCTAAAACCATCAACTCTAAGGAATTTGTGGTCGATACATCGCCCCCACAGAAGGGGTTCTTGATTATAGACCGTATCCAGAAGGTTCCCGTATATATAAATTCAGTTCATATCGACTTGTACGCGACTGATTTTACTGATAGTGAAAGTGGGGTAGATTTTTATGAAATATGTTTAGGGACACAACAAATGACATGTGATATTGTTGGTATGCGTTCTTTTCATGGTGAACATATTAGTTATCAGCTTCCACTAAACATAAATGATGGGCATGTTTATGTTATAAGTGCAATGGTAAATATAAAAAAAATGTTTTTTCAGTTGTAAATAAAGTCAAATTAAGAATTTCTTCATGCTTCTTTAGTAGAAAAACAATAAATTAAAATAAAAATAATATGAAAATAAAAAAATAAAAATAAAAAAACAACAAAAACAAAGAATTAGTATTCTCTCAACAAGAAACTTGATTTGAAATTTACCGATAATCAAGTATTATAAGAATATTGAACAATGTATTTTAACTTAATTGTTCAGGCTGTCAACAGAGCAGGTTTGAAATCAGATATTTCAACAATACAGTTTATTTCTGATTTGTCTCCTCCAACCGGTGGACACGTCATGGATGGTCACTGGACGTATAAAGTATATTATATTCACATTTTATCGCCATCGATTATGGTTAGATGCTCATAACTGATATAGAAAAGAAATAAATAAGTTGATTTTCTTCGTACATTTAAAAAAAAGAATTATGTAAGTTAAAAAAAGTATAAAACTATTCCGGTTGGAATGTTTTATAAAAGTGGTAAAATTATGTTAAAGTATGCCTCTGTTATGTAACAAACAACTATTGTACTTAAACAGAATTAAACGTTCCGAAACAAAATATTACGTTGCAATTAAAGTTTTTTTTTGGGTTTAGCAATGAGTCCTTGCATGTATCATTTGCTCTTCTTTTTCAAAAATAAAACAATAATTTACATGCAGCAGTTTTGTACATTTATACTCTTTAAAGTTGGTCTTAAATTTTTCATCAGGCAGACAAAGATTTTCAGCAAGAGTTACGTAGCATTGCGGGACATTGGTATGGATTTGCAGACCCTCATAGTGGCATACAGTATTACAGAGTAGGTCTTGGAACAAGGCCATATCTTGACAATATTGAGTCTATGGTTGAAGTTGGTCTTCAAACAGGTAAAATTTTTGTATGATGTAAAAGCTACTTTTCGTCACCTGAAAAGGTATAAAACATTATACGATATTGAACAATATTTCGTGCGGTCATGTCTCCGCCTTCCGGTAGACATTCGCAAAACAATTACACATACTTGAAGTAACACTTTCATTATTGTGCCTTCGTGTCATCGATTTAAGGGCAAAGCACCACGACATAGGGATTCGGTAAATTGTCCAATTATCATGTCTTCGCCGTTCATCTTTTGAGTCAACGAAGATACGTCGACAATGTAAATATAGGCCGCCGACACGATAGAAGAATATCTCGTGTCTTATTAAAATATCGTTATTTTACCTAGAATGCATTGTGCCTTCGTGTCGGCGCCCTCAAAAGTTTAAGGCGAAGACTCGCTCGGTTAGTGAGCATGTATATTATCTCGTGTCTTTGCCTCCGGCACAAAAATACGAAATGGTAGAAAATAGCAACCGTACTTTTCAACCAAAATTTGTTTCAGGCGCAAATAGCATTCTAGGTTACAAACAACACTATTTCAGGTGCTTGTAGTCACTGTGTAGGACCTTAGGTAGTGCTTTTGTTATAATATTACCATGTTAAACTATTACCATAATTTTTTATACACTTTTTAGACATGACATGGAACGGTACATTTGAACCTGGCAAAAAGTACTATGTAACAGTTGAAGTTTGTAATGGTGCGAATCTGTGTTCCTCCGCCTGTTCAAACGGTATTCAACTGGATAACACTCCTCCAATAATTGGGATTGTGCGGATAGGCTCGGGTAGCAAGCATGTGATATATTCACCACATAAGTATGTCTATAACATGTCTATAGATTGTAACTCGCGAAACATCAGTATCTTAGGAGTTAGTACATGTATCTAATTTTTAAGTTAAGTCTTGAACCTGTTCACTGACGAGGAATATAGATTAATCCTCCACCCGTCCGTTAGTCTAAGTACAATCACTTGTAGAAAATAAATGACAATGTTCAAATTGACTAAAATAAAAACATATGGCGTAAAAAGAATTGCTTATGGGGGTGCAAAAAGCATTACCTTTGGGCTTTTATGAGATTAAAGAAGATAAATACGTAAACCCAGTATCATCTACTCCTACAATAATTCAGATTATACATTCTTGAAACTTAAAAAATCTGGATAGGTGGCAATATGAAAGTTATTCACATCATATAAATTTGATCCTTTTTCGATTTGAATAAAGTCTTAGGGCATCATTTTTTAAAAAGTTCATTTGTTTTTGAAATATCAATATTGATTATCAATATATCAATTTAATTAAGGCCTTACGTTGTAAGAGACTTTTATTGTTTGGTAACTTACATGCTGTTATAGTTTTCCTCTTAAGATATGATTTTTGCACTTTGTTTAAAGCAAGAAGTTTAAAGTGGTTCTAAATTATTTCTTCGTTTTTCTTTAAAGCACATCGGTTCACATGCAGTGGGAAGGTTTTGAGGATCCACAATCTGGCATCAGTCACTTCGAAAATTGTATTGGAACTAAACCATATATCTGTGATATTAGTCCTTTACTGTCCAGTCTTCTTCAATCAAATATCATACGGACTGGTCTTAATCTTCCGATCGGAGTTGATTTATATGTTTTAGTGAAAGCATTTAATAGAGCTGGGATTAATGCAAAACAAACATCCGAAAGATTTATAATTGACAATTCCCCACCAGTTGTAGTTCGTAAACCCTCAATCTTCCCACTTGGAGAATCAAGAAAGTCTAACAGCACAAATATTCAATGGGAAAAATCTTTGATCAGAGTTATTTGGAATTTTATTGATAATGAGAGCTCTATTGTCAAACATATTGTCTCCTTAAAAACTCATCAAAATGGTCACATTCCTATTGAAAATGTGGTTGTTGGAAATTCAGACACGTTCTTGATAACCCTTGATAAAAACAATTGGTTACATGACGGTGACATTTATCATGTTGTGGTAACATGCTGTAATGCTGCCGGTCTCTGTACAAGTTCGAAGTCGGAAAAATTGAAAATTGATTCTTCCCCTCCGCTTATGGGAGGATTCGCATATCCAATGAGGTGGACAAATTATCATAATAGTTTTAATAAAAGCTACAGTATCATTTGTCTTTCATGGTATGGCTTTGTGGACCAAGACTCGCCAATAGACAAATACTACGTAACTGTCAGCAATAACTTTAGTGGACACGAATTATCAAATGGTATAGTTGTCATTGATGCTGATATATCTAGAAATAATCATTCATCTAATATAACCATTAATCAACCAATTAGTGATAAGTCTTATCTGATCATTTCAATTTGGGCAAAGAATAGTGCTGGACTGAATAGTACAATATTTCGAGCAACAGTTGTACCCTTTTTGTCAGAAAAAACACAATATCAGTCAGGTGCCCTTAAATTTGAAAAGCATTCGTGCAAAATACATTCGTGCAATCTAGACTGTACTTGCTCGGCCGTTGGAAAAGTTTGTACTCAATCTAAAATGACAAACTGTGTGTATGTAAATTCATCGACTGTAGGTACCACCAGATATCCAAAAATTGAAGTATTTGGTGGTTCTGAAAATAAGCCCGAACAAATATCATCTTCATCTGCATGCTTGTCTGGACATTGGAAAGTAATTGGTCCCAATGAGATATCGATTCTTCGCTTTGAATGGAGTATGGGGTTGTTTGGACAAAAGCCAGGAGACGGAATATTCATTTCATCGGAAAGGCAATGGCATGATGTCGGAAAACGTACCAAAGTTAATTTTTGTTTGCCACCAAACACTGGTTTAATACATGCTATGAAATACACCGTGTATGTTAAGGCATGGTACTCGAGTTTAGAGCAATTTACATTTTCGTCCGACCCAATAATCATTGATCACACACCACCACAGCCAGCAAAAGGTCGATTCGTATTAGATTCTGATTTAGATTGTGCTGTAGATTACGATGTCATTGATTGGATGGACAAGTTAACTTTTTGTTGGAAAGGTGTTTTTAGAGAGACACAGAGTCAACTGTCCCACTTTACAATATCTCTTGGAACATCTGTAAATGGTATTTTATTTATCATGTTTTAGCTGTCATATTTGATATTGATTTACCTGGTAACTATATTTCTCACTGCGTGTACTTGTAAAGGAAATTGTTATTTTTATATCTATTGTAAATTCAAAATTGCTCGTATTCATTGAAATGAACGTTCGTTTCTGTTTAATTCGGATATCATACTGTATAATTATATTTTTAGGGAGCGACATCTTTAACATGACCGAAGTTGGCTTAAATACAAATTTCACTTTGATAAATACAGAACTTTCTCATGGAACAAGATATTACTTCACAGTAACGGCATACAATGTTCTCGGAATGCAAAATTCACTAAGCTCTGATGGTTTCGTGATAGACATGGATACACCAGTTGCTGGAATGGTCTTCAATACAGACCAATTGATTAACAGCAATTACCAGTCATCGACATCATCATTCGGAATCTCTTGGTACGGATTTATCGATCATCATTCCGGTATAAAATCTTATCATGTTGCAATATCTGAAGATAACACCTTAAACCAAAGTCACATCATTTTTAAGAACGTATATCTTAAAACAAAATACAAATTTACAAAGATTAAACTTGAACATGGAAAACGATACGTTGCTTTAGTGAAAGCTTGTGATGCGGCTGGGCATGCTAGTATGATTGCAAAATCGGCTTTGAAAAGTATAGATGTAACAGCACCTAGTGTACTTCAGTGTGAAAAGTATGTTTTGTTACGACAAAATGAAACATATGGAGATCACATGCTAGAAGGCAGTGTTCCTTCTGATATTAACATACGTCTTGACACTTTTCTGAAAAAAGACAATTTATACAAAATAAGTGGAATATTACGTAGAGCTAGCTTTTCATCAAAACTTGTTTTGGTTATCGATCGGATTCGTTTAGTTCTATATACATCATTTGATCACAATGGCTCAGAGAACTTTGAATATAGCTTTATTGCACAACAATCAGGAACTGCAAATATACAAGTCCAAACCGAAGGCATTTTCTTCGAAAATCATTCGTTACAAGCAAACTTTTATAAGTGTTTAACTACAAACATGAAAGCAGACGGTGAAATCCAGTTTCAACAAATAGGGCCTTCGGCAGTAAAAGTATCAACATTGATTTTTGATCCAGAGAGTGCCGTATATAAGGTGAATATAAAAAATGTTTATTAAAATAAGAAACAATAGAACACTGACAAAATTTCAATTTGTGATAATATAAATACAAACATTTTAATATTCCTTTCGATTTTTCCCTTTGTATAAGTTCACTTTTTAAGAATTTATGTATACAATATGCTTATTTTTAAGCGTTGGTAATGTTTTTGTATAGTCACAGAATATTAGTTCATGATTTATGGTAATTTTTATAGATACACTATGGAATTGGGACAAGTCCCGGAGGTCTACAACTGCGGCCATTTTCAAAACTTAATAATAATTACCAATGCGTTGTCGATATGCATTTAGAACACGGGAGTAAGCTATATCTGACTGTTTTCTCAAAGAACCATGCTGGCTTAACAACAAGCTTTAAGAGTAATCCGATTGTTGTCGACAAAACGCCACCGGTAATCAGAAAACTGAATGTTATTGTCAATGATACACATGCCACCGACGCACTCTATAGTGTTTATGCAAACTGGCATATCGAGGATGCAGAAAGTGGAGTGAAATCTTGCTATTGCGGTCTTGGTATTTTTCTTTATTGTGATTTACAGTGAACAATAATCAATACTTTAATTTTAGTAGATATTTCTTTAGAAAACAAACCTTATATGATATTCTATAACTCTACACAAAACGTCAACGTCCATAGGATATTAGTCGCATTGATATTATCTACATATATGCAAAGATGCTACGAATGTATGTATTTTGTTGATTTTTAAACCGAGGAGAGACTTTGAAAAGTGTTGTTTTATAAATTCGCTGTATTGACATTTGACAGGTTGCCTTTTAAATGTTGTTTGCAACTTAACTTATCAAAATTAATATATATAGAACCATCAAATTAAAGTGTTATTTAAATAATCTATAATGAATAACACCTGCGTATTAGCATTTACTGTATGTGAATTTGATGTATATGATTGCAATGAAGTTAACAAAATTTATTCTTCGGCTAATTTCAGGAAGGGGATTACAAATGAACGGGATAGAATCATTAGAACCTACGGAGACTAATTCAGCTTGCCAGTTTATCAATATGACATTGGCTAAAGTAGAGAGAGTGTATGTAAAAGTTATGTGTATTAATAACGTCGAACTTATGGAAGAGCTTGTTTCAGATCCAATAATCATCCGTTACACTAGCACAAATGTAGAATTCGCTAATGTGCAAGTTCTATCTGCCATTGGTTTCAAACAAGGCATTGAATTATTTGGTATGAAATTCACGGAAATTTATTTGCAACTAAACAAATCACAAGTCAAGTTTGAGTGGGATGGATTTGAGGATATTTATGGAATCGACCATTATGAATATAGATTTCTACACAATACAAAGAAAGAAGGGACATGGAAGAGAGTAAAAAAGCATACCATGTATGAACTGGATGGTCTTCACCTCTTACCGAATGAGATATATACGATAGACGTAAGAGCAGTGAATTCCGAAAACTATACTAGTGAGCTGGTATCTACGAATGTGTTTATTACAGGAGATGATCCTAAGCTTACAGGTAAATATAAATTTCAGACATAATCAAGTAGTGAGAATTGTAAGAATAAACAAGTTAAGTTTTAAATATATTTTATTTCAGGGCTAGAAATGGAGTCAATTGAATAGATATTGCTTTTTTTCCAATTTTGAGAAACGACACAAGTCATGTTTAGATATAGTGTTTAGAATATTCTTACTAGAGCTGTTAAAATCATGATTTATGTAGTAATAATTATTCAGGTTATATACCGTGAACTTGTTATTTTAATATGCTTTGTTTTCGATATGTAGGCAACGCAATGACAGTTGCTTGGAGTAACCGGACCATACGGCTTGACTGGTCGAAGGTTTTTCAAGAACCTTATGTAGCAGATGTTGTTTACGATGTAACAGTTGGCTCTCGACGAGGTTACTCCGATGTGATACAACTGCAAAGAATAGAAAATCCGAATTGTTCATTCAGCCTTCCAGAATTTACAACGGTGTCTTCAACAATTAACGAGATTGTCGTGTTTGTAACTGCTGAGTATTCAACAGGATTATCAGCACTTTATGAAACGAATATAAAAATATGATCATTAGCTTTGATAAGGAAATGTGTAAATATGAACACCTTTATTTGACTCAAATGCATATACATGTATATTTATATTGTCTTTTAGACTATATATAGACAGAAACATGAAACAATTTGTAAATAGATAAACAAACGTAAAAATATGACTTGTGAAAAATAGGTTTTAAGAATTAAAAAAACAACAACTAACAAACTAGGTTAGCTGATAAAGAAGACAAGATGGGTATTAAGAATAGTGTCATTTAAGTGCAGTAAATTATCAATCCTGGTGCATTTCTACAACATTACCGCGTGTTTAAGTTCCATTTAATAGATTTGAACACTACAAACCGAACATTTTGTAGCAATACTGTAGTCAGCGGAAACTGTATTTGTAGTTTAATTACCTGGAATTTTCATGCATCCTTGTTTAAAGGACAATTGTATTCGTATTAAATCTGATTTTACAAGTCTAATATTTTAAACAGTTAACAGTTAAAAGTTTTATAGGATGTAAGGTATATAAAACGTCCATTTATGTCTTTTGTTTAAATTGATTATGTCATGTTTGTTTTAATTGCACATTTATTTTGATACATATTTGTATATTGATATATAGATCAATGTATTATTGTAGAATTTTGCTTTGTAGAGCTTGATGGAATTAAAAAAAAATATAGTCGGAAATATGTTTACGTTTTCCAAATTGAATGGAAAGAAATTTTGTAAATTGCTAAACAACAAATATAAATATTATACGTATATCATTAACCAGTATGTTCATGTAAATGTATTATCATATCCCGATTTGTAAGTACGTTTTGTAGGCATAAATCATACTCGAGCTAAATTTCTTGGTTTGATGAAATTGACATGTTCAGACTTACGTTGAAAAGATTGAGATTTACTCAACCTACAGGGCAATAAGCATGTTAGAAATATCTTAAATACTTATTAGACATTCCTTATCAAATAAAAATCGAAACCTGAAAAAGAAACAGTAGTGTAAGTAAGATTTACAGTAATGCATCATTCTTGTCTTGATAACGGGACTCCACTGAGGTTTAATGACAAGACGGACAGATTATATTTTTTTCGCATATATGTACCTTTTGATGTAGGTCTGGACTCATAACTTGTCCGCAAATGTAAATGTTTCTTTTACTCCATTTTCTTCAGAATAATCAGTTTAATAGTGAAAAAATGAGACGTGTTTTCACACCTTTAACTTAAATTGGGTAAAAAATAGCACAACATTTATTTATAAATTTTATCACGAGGACATTTTTTTTGTTATCCTTTTCATATTTTTCCATTTTAAGTGCCCCGAGTTGATTTTTTAACAAATTGAAAATTAAAATTTAAGGCTTTTAGGTCTCATTTGATTTCCACTCATATCTTGCTACTATATTTCAAAGCGACAGTTCCGTGCAAAAATATCGTAATTCGAAAATCGTTGGTTTCAGGAATAGCCAAAAAAAACAAAAAAAAAAACAACTTAATTTGTTTTTAAAAAATTGCTGCAACCACGACAAATGTGACAAGGAAGCGTCATAACACAATATCATAATTTCAAAATGTTAGAAATTATTTTTATATGCGTTTTTGATCAACAATCGAAATACAATTTTCTCTCAGAAACCTTTTGCAATTTTCATAAGATATTCTGAGATACGCGAGATACAACATTTTATAATAAATGCATTCCAAAGAGTTAGTCATTTTAACAAATGAAATATGTTTGCTATTAAAACGCTCATTCCCATGTATTGATGTCGTTTATTGCTTTAGCCAGGATTATTTATAAAAAGCATAATGAAAAAACTTTATTTCCTCATTTTGCCATTTCTTTCGTAGTCACTCCTGTAAAAATCAAGCAAAGTACCTCTATCCAAAGATACGTCTTACACCATCAAAGTACAATTCATTTTATCTTCTGAGTCGCTAATACAGCTTATTAACATAATAAAAAAATCATGGGAAAATGCTCAAAATACTTTTTTGCGCATTTACGTGAAAAAAATTCCCTATTAAACTATGAGATAAAATGAAGTAGGTTAAACAGTAACTTGTAACACAACAACACAAACTAAGTTTTGACTATCATTATAGCGAGCTGAACATAACTGATTCATGATACGGAATCATGGTCCTTCTGTTCTAACTAATTTTGACTGTTCATACTGTTTGATTTCCTTTTCCAACAATACTGTTGTTCGGAGGAATCACAATATCGTTGTAACATAATTAATATGACATGTAACTTAATAAATCACGCACATGCATTCTTTTCACTGTAACATGCCAATAAGACGTTATTTTATATTATCTATAAGAACGAAAGATGTGCGAAAGATAGGTCAGATGTAATTTGTAACTTAATCATGCTAATGCAGTACTTTTCACTACTACATGTGTACTGGTTTAATGCTTCATGAGTTTAATTCCACACCTTCGTATATAGTTGTGTGTGAATAATACCGAACCACAAAAAATGTAAATTGTTGATTAATCACACACATGCAGTATATACATAAAATAGAGAAATACAGAATCCCTAAAGAAAGCCCAACACAACAAAATTGAAAATGTTGCAGGCTTGGTTTGATTGAGTCTGTTCATATACGGTACTGGAAAGTGCAAGTTACCGTCCACGCCCCCTAGCACCGGCTTAAGCAGAATTCAACATTTAAACACAACACGACAACTGGTGAAATTTTGAATTTAGAGACATCCGCAGGACTTGATCTATAGGACAACCATGGTAATTCATGATACGTGCAAAAGGTTGTCATGAAAATTATGCTACCGTACGGACTACTGAAGATTTTTTTTCCTTAATAATTATTAATATGTACTGTTATAAAGAGTGTGTGCAAAATATTATAAACACGATCAACAATGAAAGGCCGGGTAATATTATTAAGTAAGTTCAAGTGATTCTGACCCGTACTCGGCTGACAAACATGAATTAGTCTATGTTTACGTACCAAATCGTTGTGCTGCAATTTTTTCTACCAAGAATGTGCTCGTTTCCTGATAGATATTTCATGATCGAACGGGAAGGGCCGGTCTCACCTGGAAGCTTAATACAAACGTGAAATAGTGATAACCTATATTTAAGAAGAAAATGCGTAAGTGACAGCTATACCGTTCACAAGACGACTTACCCGACAAGGAGTTCTAGTTAATTCACACATAACTTGTCCCGTCCCTCTCCTCCATTCGCCTCCCTTATGTTCACTCCCGGTTTTCGTTTGGTGCCGTCTGGATGCCCTGCTGTGGTAGCTTGTGTGTGTCAAGGGCTGCATCCTGTGAACGTTGCCTTTGCCTTGTTGATCTTTATTCTTGTATATTTTCTACATACATTTGAAGAACGTAAAATGCATTGTGTCCTTATTTTACTTTTAACACTAAAGTGTACACCGTCACACTTCAGTTGAGTTTGGCCCCTTTCAAGGTACTCTTGATATATTACAATATTTTTCCTGGTTGTCCAAAACAATGCGTTTGATATCGTGGCATCCCTGTTTTGGTAGGTACACTCGCCGCTATTTTATGTTTGCTTGATTAAGGTACTTTACTACAAATGTAGCAAAGATGTTTGCATTTGATTCCCATTCGCCTTCGTGTCGAAAATAGTTCTTTGCTTCGTAGATAACTAGATTATAGAGTCAAGTAATGTCATTTTGTAATATGAGCTAGTAGAAAATCAACAAACTCTGTACATCTATGCACAATAACTTAATAATTACATCATTTGTAGCCCTTTCCTAATCTGAAAGTTTGCTCTTTTTTGCTTCATCATGCTCTTTGTGTAATTCAGTAACATATCGGGGCTAAGAATGAGGTTTAAACTCCCCAGTGGTTTTGTGAACGTTGCCTTTGCCTTGTTGATCTTTATTCTTGTTTTTTTTTACTACCACTGACCGTTCCAAGGCGGTACCCCTCTGTGTTCCTTCACGTGTTTTTCATGTCTGTATTGTTACTTGTTTTTGAATGTTTAAATGTTTTGTGATGTCTGCCTTGTTGGATTGTCGTTTACGGTAGGTATTTTCTCACACCCCTTCCTTTTCATCCTTACAGCCCTTATCCCATAATTCCCATTTAGGTTCGTTTTGGTCTTTGTTGTTTCGCGCATTGCATGTCCTTCTCCTTTCGCCGCCCTTATTTCCACTCCAGGTTTTTGTTTGGTGCTTTCTTGGTGCCCTACTTGGGTGTGTCGGGGGGGGGGGGGACCTGCGTCCTGTGAACGTTGCCTTTACATTGTTGATCATTATTCTTGTTTTTTCATGTTTCATCTGTTTATGATGCTGATAATTTCGATCGTGAAAGATTAGGCAGAATTCAACATTTAACATGAATTGGTACAATTTTAAATTTTGAAACATCCGCAGATGTGTTCATATGGCGGTTATCATGGAACCTTCAATGTGACACGTAAGTGCCATTCCATGAAAAGCTGCATATGGTCTCCAGGTAAAAAAATGTGTGTGCCCTAAACGAGAAAACAATGGGCGGAAGTAAATAAAATGGAATTTTGAAAGGGGATCAGGTTATGAAGCCTGCATATCACAGATAAGAAAGAGAGTGAAAAAGAATCCCTAAAGAAAGCCCAACGCGGCAAAATTGAAAATGTTGCAGGCTCGGTTTGATTGAGCCTGTTCATGGACGGTACTGTCAAGTGCAAACCACCGTCCACGCCCCCTAGCACCGGCCCAAGCAGAATTCAACATTTAACATGAAGTGGTAAAATTTAGAATTTTGAAACATCCGCAGAGTCAAAGTCAAAAGACAAATTTAAAAAGCAGGCCACATATCCTAAGGGTGATTCAACAGTATTCAAGTGAGGTTTACTGGAACCACCCAACAAGAAAGTAGCCGAATAGAAAAAAACTAAATTACCACAAGCACAACAATAATGCCGTGCTGAACGATCTTTAAGGATCGGAAATATCACATCTCTGAATGTATGTACGGGGCGACTTTTTACAGCCTCCACACGGCACAAACAACGATGATGTGGCGATAAAATAAGAATCCCTAAAGAAAGATCAACACGACAAAATTGCAAATGTTGCAGGCTCGGTTTGATTGAGCCTGTTCATGGACGGTACTGTCAAGTGCAAACCAACGTCAACGCCCCCTAGCACCGGCCCAAGCAGAATTCAACATTTAACATGAAATGTATATCACAAAATATGATAAACAAGATTAACAAGGAAAGGCGGCGTTCAATGAACGCAACCCCTACCCGACCCAGCAACAAGAGCCAATGACAAGGAGCCCATAAGGACCCTAAAACTCCTTTGAGATCCTATTTCTATAAAGTGGTTGATAATTTGTTAAATCGACTTTTAAAATTGCTTATTTTTTAAATAAAATTGCTTGATATTTTATCTAATGAACTATAAATTATAAAAAACAAGATCAACTAGGACGGGGGCGTTTTATGAACGCAACCCCCACACGACCCAGCAACACAGGACCACCGGCAAGGAGCCCAGCAGCATTCCAAACAAAAACAGGACAGGGCACAGCATGGACGGGATAATAACTTTAATGATACGTTATAGAAAATAATAGAAACAAACATGGCAATTAAAGAAGACAATTTTATGATTGACCAAAAGGCCTATAAAATATAATAAACAAGACCAACAAGGAAAGGCGTCGTTCAAAGGACGCAATAGTGAAAAAACAGAATCCCCAAAGAAACCCCACACGACCCAGCAACAAGAACCAGTGGCAAGGAGACCAGAAGGATTTTTGCATGATGTGTAAATTTTGTCGCAATTTTAATACCTGTAATGAATTGTCCATAATCTAAGTATGCGCATGTACTTAAATTTGGAGGGCCTG